AGATTACTTGGTTTTATCAACTGAGTTGATAATGTAATTATTGGCCACTGTAAATAATTTCTAAACTGAAGTTTTGAGCTTCAGAAAAAGTGGAAAAAAATAGCTTGTTCAAAGATCAGTCAGTGGAAATGAAAGGGATGGCTGGCAGCAAATGGCGGTTGTGATTGTCAGGGCAATGGTCTACAATATCCTAACCTCTCAGAGGTGTAGAATTGGCTAGATTGAATGTGAAGTGGATTTTCTTGTTTGTATCTCTTTGCAGGTGATAGTTGTAGTAACAGATGATGGAGAGGTGCATTGTTACACAGATCAGCTGGAGCTAATGTGGAGGACTCAGGTTTTCACAGATCATGAAACATCAGGCTCACTAAATTTTAAGTGAGTTGCTTATTTTCTTTAAATTTTGTTTTATTTGTGACTAAATCAGAATTATTTTGTTAATGTTGGAAAGGACAAGTGGTAAATTTTTTTTTGTCATTTCTTTTCTTTATTTAAAAAAGTGTTTTACCTGGATTCTTTTTGAAGTTGGCAATGATTCTGCTTTTCCATTAAAAGTCATCCCTTGAAATTAATTTTTGTTTGTTGCTTTGACTTATAGTTCTTTTTAAAGTACTTTATTTTTATGGCTTTTTTTTAATTGCAGGGAAATTGCTGTACTTGTTATACCTCAGTCTGGCTTAGTTTTGATCGGAGGGATGACTGCTAAAGAAGAACAAGTGCAACACAATTTAAAGTAATGATTTCCCCTTTGGTTCTGTTCCATCTCTTACATTTCTGACTAATGCAGTGTTAGATCGAGGGGGGAGGCCTTAGGTCCAACTTTTACCTCTCCTTAATATCATCAGTTATTGAATCGTTATTGCTCCGCCCCTACCCCCCCCTCCCCCACCACTCTTTAGGAACAGACCTAACCAGTCATTCTTGAAACTGTGGGTTCCTAAATTTATAGGAAGCGATTTTGATAAGAAATAGAGCGAAGTAGAAAGATGACCAGATAGTTTTCCTTTATCGTAAGCGTCTTTAGTTTTTAAAGTACTATAACGGGCTCCGTTCACGTGTGATTTCTAAGTTTGTATGTGCTGGCTGTAATGCCTGTTACGTCGGTGAAACCTGCCAGCATTTTTCCAGACGTGTTAGAGAGCACTTAGTCATTGACAGGGCCTCTCACATTTTCAAGCATCTGAAAGATTCTGCACACTGTCGCGCTTTGTGTTCAGAAGATAACTTCCATGTTATAGATCACGCCTCTACCGGCTTTCAACTTAAGATAAAAGAGGCTATTCATATTCAAAGAGAACAACCATCTTTGAATCAACAATTACACCATGTAAATCTAAAACTATCTTTTTAATTCTCACACTTTCGTGCTTTACCTCTTTTCTTGTTGTCCCTATTTATCATAATTAGCATTGTTCTACTTACTATATAATTCAATTAATTAACATTAATTAACTGAAGATGACAGAAGTTTCTGTCGAAACATGTTTTACAGACTTAAAAGTTTTATCTTTCTTTAAATACTATTTCTTTTGCATTAAAGAAATGAAATATTTTACACTGCATTTTCAGACATGACCATCAACATAACTTTTCCGCTAGTTTTAGTGTTGAGGAGATAGCAAAGCAACCTCCAAGACGCTCGCGCAATACTAAGAAGGTACTTTCTTCCATACTACATCAGATTTAATTTGAAACTGCGGTCGTTTTTCCTTTGGAATATTCCTCATTCCGTGTAAACTGTCCACCTTCAACGGAGGTTTTCGAAAACGCTACACCTTTGTAAGAGCCATTTCTTAGTGTTTCATTTACAATGAAAGATAGCAGCGTAAGATAGTTAACTTTCGACAATAGTGCGAGTTCATTTCATGTGTCCTTCTATTGTCAGGCAACCGAAGAAAAGGAACATTTTTCGACATACGCTCTGAACGCGAAAACAGGAAGGACCTACTGGAAACATGAACCAGGCGACTATGAAGCCAAGAAAATGGACAGAGAGGTATCGTTGTTATTTATATCAATATACTATACTTCATCAAACTCAGCGTTCTTCGTTTAGTTGTGCATGGTGTAGAAGCTTTAAGGAACGGAATAGCGACCTTTTCGAGCGACTGTCGTTGAACCAAGCCAAATAGAGTGATTTTCTATGTCAAGCTTTATTGGGCAAGATCAAAAATGAAAATATACAAACATAAAGAATCAAAGCCCAAAAGGGATGAGCACGAACGGGACACTCAGACCCATGCAGGGTGCCTACCCAAGGGAGATATAAGTGTATATTATATTTTCAATTCTGTAGTAAAAGTAGTTCATATTCATACAGATGCAAAACTAACACCAACTGCACCTTGTTCATGTTTCGTGTTTTCTCATGATTCAGGCACTTTGCTCGTTTTTACTTGATCGAGTTTTCATCGCATCTTAGCGGTTTTTCTTAGTGTATGAGTATGTAAGTAAGAGACTTTATCTTCAAAGGCTTACGCGTAATACTGACAATTGCTGCCAAACCTGCGGCGCTTGTAGTAAGCTTTTGTAATTACGTTTAGTTTTTATTTACGACACTCGATCGAAAAGCGCTTTCATCATACACCTTGTCTTAACAAAAAAAACAATCTATCCATTAGGAGTCGATCTAAAGCGTCCATCTTGCCTGATATCTTTTTTTCTCTGAAGGATATCCTGTCGGCTTACCATTTCAAGCTGGCTCTTCATTCCAGTCAGTACCACGCGGGTGAAATTCACTGGAGTCAATACACCGAGTCACTGATCTCTTCACTACCATACAGATGGCAACATCCCGCTGATACCACCTTACAAACAGCTCACTTCGTGAAAAGGCAACCCTCGACACTCGCAACTCAAGGGAAAGAACTTAAAACAGGACCTGTGGTAGAATCGAAAGCAATAAAGCCAAACGCAGTAGTTATAAAACGACAAAAGGCCATTGAGGTGTTAAACATGGAGTCTGGTCAACCTTTGTGTTCTTACGCTGTACCTATGAGAACCACAAGTGTTGGTGATTTGAACGGCGACAATGTCATAGATCACGTGACCACGTACTTTGCCTCGGAGCGGATAGACCAATCAGGAATGATTAATCCTTGCTCGGGTGTTGCAGTTTCCGGGTCGAAATCTTTATTCAGTAGGTCTATCTGCCGTACCCCTTCAACGTTCGGTAGTTTCTTTGGCTCGTTCTCCGAGGAAGATTTACGCGAGGAGAACGTGCTGGTTTCTCCGTTGCTTGTGCCAAGTCCACCTTACAAAAGAGGGATTTTCAGCCATTTATCAGGAGAGGCGTTCAAGCGAGATAGCATCAGGAGCTTGGACAGTATTTTTGTTATTTCTTCTGGAAGACTAACAAGTTTGGGACCGTTTGGTGAATTGAATTGGCAGGTAGATTGAAAGCTGGTATTTATAAAAGGAGCGTGATTAATATCAGAGATCACCTTTACAGCGAGGGCAGCACGCACCTGTGGCTGCCATGCCGTCCGTGTCTGAATTTTAAAAGCATCATCAAAAGTACAACGCCAACAACGTAATGACCAAATTGAGACTTCCAATTCATGCTGTTGCTCGGGAAAGCTAACAGGACTCGTGGTTTGATCTGTTTGAAAGAGTAGATGTAGTGAAGTAAATTGCCGATCACTTTAAGGAAAACTTGAGACGCGTTTTAATAACTTTAGACTCTCATTACAATTTCAGTTTCAGATTGTGCTTGTTATTTCGCTAAGGCCCGCGGAGAATAGATGGAAATATAGCGTATGCAGTTTGTTTCATAGGCACTTGTCACTGTCGAAGAATTATCTATCAGCGCGTGAAGCCTCCACAGCGCATCACACGTGCACCCCACCTGCTCTGAACACAGCATTTTTCTTGTCCTTGACAGGTAGACACGGTAACCTCATGGACGAACTACAATCCGCCTAATGACAAAAGTGCAGACGCAGTTCTTGTACCTAACATTCAAGCTGTTTCTACTGCGGTAGGGGCACAAAAGGTATGCTCATTACACTTATTTTTGGCCATTTAATCGTGGTCACGGATCTCGTATATCAGACACAAAATCGGACGTTTAGTGGCAGTTGCGGTGACTGTATGGATAGCGCGCTTATTTTCGGGTCGACTGAGAGATCCAGATTTTAGCCCCAAGTGGGTCAATGTGTACAGTCGTGTTCTTAGGCACGCAACTTTACTCTCACAGTGCGTATCTCCAACCTGGAGTATAAATGGGTGCCGGCGAATAGTGAAGGAAGCTTGACAAAATCCTAAGGAGGGATAAGGTCATCTGCAGTGGAGTAGCATTCCATTTTGCAAGAATAGAAATCCTCCTGATTACTTTTTGGCATAAACACAGGAGTTATTTCGTTTGTTTGTTTGTCTTTTGCAGGACGCTGTCCTGGTAACAGGCTTGAGAGACTTCGCACTAGTCTCTCTCAAAGATGGCTCGCTGATGGCCTCTCACTCGATACCCTGCGAACCGGTGTCTCCTGTTGTGCAAGGAGATTTTACAAATGACGGTCTAATGGACTTTATTGTATGCTGTAAAACAAGGTGAGCTGTTGGCGCGGCGTCGGGCAGTGTTTGTAAATCCTTCATTCCCTGCAGTGATAAGTGTATAATTTCGTTTGACACTTTTTTCGATATAAGACCTCTAACCGCTGTCCGTTTAGCCCGCGAGGAGGCTCTTGTGTTCGGTTTCCTCCTATAGCCCCTTTACCGAGCACAGCCTGGGGCACAGCCGCCTTTTACACCATCGGTGGCCACTTATGGGAAAAACTTTCTAGACCCCTGCAAGTGACAGTGTCTTCTCATAGCCCCAAATTCTCCGGATTAAGCTTCAAATAACTGAATGATCGTAAGCTGGGAGAGCTAGCCTATTATCTATTATATGAAGCGATAAGTCACTACAATGAGATTGTATCTAATATATTCTCCTCAACTCTTTGACCGCTAAGAGTGATTAGCAGTTCATCTCCCCTTACAGTATCACCCCTTAATCACAAATTAAGGTCACGAGAATAAACGAAATGGTTACCAACTAAATAAGTTTTCGATTGTTAATCAAATTCTCCTCGTCAGCACCTTAGGAAATGTCTAGAGAACAGTATGGAGAATATGCATACTGATATTAGGGTGTACAGCGTTGATTGATAAGGGGAGTCGCTTTTTGATGAGGGAGTCAGTTCCCAGGCCTGTCTCGCTGAATTCCCAGTCTTCAGGTCTCAAAGCTTCATTCATCCTTTCCAGCAGCCACTTCCTTGAATATAGAGGGAGTTATTAGTGATTATGGGCGAGTATTACTCACCCATCTCGTGGTGTCAGCTACAGCTTGAGACAAAATTCAAAAGGCCCGTTTACAGTTTACTTCATGTGCAACTAACACTGAAACTTCTTTTCAGTTTAATCGGCTTTTCACTGGACAGTAGACCAGGGTACTGGTGGACGGTAGTCTGGATCGCGTGTGGTCTGGGGGCGATTGGAATGGCAGTACTTATACTTCGCTTCATAGAGGAAGTGATAGTGTGACAGTCGTAGGAGCCCACAGTATCAGCTGCTTGCGGAGTGTCAGAAAGAAGCCGAGTCCTCGTCTTCTTCCCTAGGCCGGATTGTTGCGGGAGCATAGATTGTGCAAGTATGTTTCCTTCGTAGCCGTACGTTTGGACTCTGGAAGCGGAGTCGAGAATGTGTTGCGTAAAAAGTAAAGGTAGAACGTAATTGTTAATGACAATCTTTCGATGGCTCCTCAAAGACAGCGTCTTCAAAAACACCAAGAATTTTTTGAAAATGGACAGCTTTGGATCGTAAATTCGTCATGACATAGAATCTAACCGAATGAAAGAGGAATGAAAATTGAACAGACGAACGAACAAAAAAACAACAAGCGAACGGACGAATAAACGAACTCGTTAGTGAACCCACAAACGGAATTACGATGGGCCGAGAAAGTGAACCGACGAATTACGAAGGGCCGAGAAAGTAAACCGACGAACATACGAACAGACGATAAATCACGATTAGAGTACACTCTCGAAGTCGTGTTTAGAATATCTCGTCTTTAAAGTAGTTTCATTGTATTCTTATTTCGTCGAATTGCGGCCATGAAAGTGGTAGATGCCGCTTCTGTTAAGAGATATTTCATTTCTTAAGTACACAATTTTTGACGCTTAACAATTGTTATGCCGCCGAGAATTAGACTGAAATCATAATTAAGATTGAATGAGAAAGCAAACGCCGGAAAAGCAGAATTAAAGTTTTCTTGTCATTAATAATTGTACAACTGTGTAAACAAAATAAAGCTTTCTGCTGACATCGTCTAAAATGGTTGCGGTCCTATGCAAACACGTCAAAAGCTTTACTTTTGAAAAATAATGGCCTTCCTCGTTAAAAGCTTGTTGCAATAGAAAATACACTGGTGTTCAATGAGTAGTTTGTTCTCAATTCAAAATTTGATATTTCTTTTCAGAATCTAAGAAAACTAAAGATCAGGCATTCGAGAGGTTTTCTCCTCGAAAGAATCATGTTGATTTCTTAACTTCGGATATATTTCAAGATTTGGCGGAAAAGTTCGTTGAGAATTTCAGTTATCTACTTCTTATGTGTAATCGAAAATGTATTTTCTTGAACTTTTCGGTGCTGTCTGTGTTTTTCTTCGTTTTATCGCTAGTTGGCTTGTGGACGAGAACAAAAGATTCGACAACAGCTTTCAACAAAGACCTGAAAAGACGCCGTGAATGTACCGACCTGAAACTCCATATGTGTGTTTATTTAGGCTTTCTTTACAGAAAAATAATCTTTCCGATCGGAATATTTGTCATTTGCTAGATTAAGCTCGTAATAAAGCCATTTGCTGCTGTGCTAAGTCCTCGAACAAAAACTGAAAGGCGAGTTTGTCCAGAGGTGAATGAATCAGGAAATTTCGATGTCACTCGCTAACATTAGCATCGATGTCCATAAATTGTGCGAAAGTACGTTTCTATGCCTTTCGTTCCAATATTAAGTATGAGTGATACACTGTTTTTGTATTATTTTGTGCCGCGGGAAAGTTGCGGCAAATTTTTGCCGCCAACTTGACAAAAAGCAAATTTTGCTCGCGAAATTAAAAATTTCTCGTTTGGTTTTTAATTGTCGGTCCATCGCCTTTTCCCGCCGACGTAAGTAAACATTGTGGGAGATTCCTGAAAACATAATTGTAATTGCAATTTTAATGCGAAGTTATACTGGCTTATACACATTTTGACGCAATGTAGAGGGTTTTTTTTTTTGGTATCTTTGGTAGTTTTACCTCAGTCGTCTAATACTGCTGAGTTACAATTGAGATAGTAAAGTACATGGTTATTTCAAAAAATATAGTTTCCTTAATATTTTGATAAATACTTGGTCTGGAAATTCCAGATAAACTGTTTATTGTAAACTGCAGTTGAATTCAATTATTTCAAAGCCATCGCATTTTCAATGAAGCGTTTGATTTCAATGTCTTTGGCCATATCTACTGGCAACAAGCCGTTATCTGTCTCAGAAAATAAATCCGCGCCGTGTTCGATCAATATAGAAGCCGTCACAACATTTCCTTCTCTAACAGCCTCGTGGATAGGACTGCTTCCGTTCAAAGATTGCCTGTTTACTTCGGCGCCATGTTCCAGAAGTAATTTTACTCCTTCCGTATCACCTTTCGCTGCGGCTTCGTGGAGGAGTGAGACGCCATAACTATTCAACTCGTTCACGTTTGTAACTTGGTGGCTGATCGCACTCGCAATCGTAAAACCCGCTTTCGATTCTCTGTGAAACGTGTTATATCGATCACTGTGCAAGTACGTGGCAGGGGATGAATTACGCCGTGATTGAAACTGTGCATTAGTTGGAAACTCGCGGTTAGGAGGATTTCCGGGATCTAAGCAAACGTTAACAGACGACGCACGTTTACGATCTTGAGTAAAGTTCTCCACTCTTGTATCGTTGTTTTGCCTGGGTGAAGATATTATTCCCCTCTCGAAAGAGTACACATTCGCGGCAGAATTTGTCGATGTCGAACTGTACGCGGAATCGGATGAACTCGATGAGTCAGATGAGTTAGAACACAAAGATGATGTCGATTGTCGTTTGAAGACTTCCCGTCGGCGCTTTCCGCATTTAAGGCAAACCGTGTCCTTACAACCGACGTCCCAACTCAGTCGGTTTTTGGTATGTGTATCTTGATCTTGTGAGGGTAACTCAACCCCGCTGGGCCCACTGAAGCTTGAAACATCCATTAACCTTTCCTGATCTTTATCTCGCATCTTGACATTTGCGGTCGGAACTCTTGGCTGTAAGGAACTGCGCCTTTTTTGCGATTCAACCGACGAAATATTTTTAGGTAAAATGATTTCGCTTGTCGCTCTCTTGCGCGGCTCTTTTATCAAACTGGTTAGATCACTTTGCTGCGCCTTTTCCTCTATTAGCTCTCTTATATCGGGCCTCCTTTTCAAGAACTGCTCGACTTCTCTAGTTTTCCCTCTCCTTCGCATAGCTTCGGCGAGAATTAGAACCGATTGCAGATCTTGCGCCAGATCGATCGCCAGTTCCCCTTGGTCGTTCTCTAACTCCACTGGAGCGCCCATGGTTATGAGATATCGGATGATGGAATGATTTCGTGCTACTGAAGCAGCATGCAGAACGCTCCAACCCTCTTTATCCTGTATGTTAAGATCAGCGCCATGACTCACAAGCAGTTGCACTAATTTTAAGTTTCCAGTAAATGAACACCTTTGCAGAGCGGTAATGCCATCTTCGTCGATATCATCGACGTGAAATTGTGACTCGCTCTGTTCAAGGAGAAACTGCACCCTGAAAATGTCCTTGACACCAACCGCTTCGTGAAATAACTCGACCGGTTTCCTCTTGACTGCAAACTTCAACATGGCGGATCACTCTCCGGAGTAATACAAAACTGCGGTGTGAAATCTGTTTGTCACAAGGTGTAGAAAACACACGACTGTGTCGCGTCAAGACTTGTCGGTTATGACATCCAGCCAGCTCGTGAACACAAAGGAGATTAGCGCCTTGCGCGAAACAACAATGCACCGCGAGACGTGTACACAAACTCAGTAAAGAAACAGTTATATCAACACGTCTACTGGTTTTGTTCCAATTGATTGCTTGCAGTGACAGCTAATCGACAGTAGTATTATTCAACCTTATTGCGCTGTCTCCTGTTGAGATAATTAAATCTTATTTTGTGGTTCTTGTGGTTTCTTGGGGGGTCATCCTTGTTGACTTTCTGTGCGAGTGAAGTGCGGTTCGTTTGCGGTTCGCAGCGAGGTAAACATGTATTTTTCCTGCCTCCCTGCTCTTCCCTCATCCCTAAAAATACTTGACGCGATTTCATTTGTTTCACATTGTTTGCCAAGCTATCACACTTCTTCTTTGTTCTCTTTAAGACACTCATCAAGGTTTTTAATTAATGCTTCTTATCTTTGAAAATCGATTATGACAACCATTGCGCCTGAGTAAACGGTAAATAAAAAGCTTCTAAGTCTTCGTGGCATTTTCTCTATAAAAGAAGAAGAATAATACAATTCCAGTTTGGCAGATGGCGTAGGAGTTATTGTCCGAACTGTTGATAGCAATTTCAACACTGATTTGACGCGTGGTTGCCTCGAAAATTGATATAGGACTTATGTAGGATTATGTTCAGGACCAGACATAGATAAACAATTAAATAACGACATTAAAACAGCTTTTCGTTTCAGTTTTACCAGTTGTTATTCTCCGGTAAAAAAATTATATGTCAAGTCATCGACATTTATGTTTTGATGGATCGCTCGTCACTTAATATTACAGTGAAGTAGCGCGCGCAATATCGTGGTTTTAGTTTTGTGGTTATAACCACGACAACTTAGCTATCAGATGTGTCGGGCGTGATATAATAAAATCAGAAATGACAAAAACAGAAATGATCATTCAACCTATTTTTAGTTCTGATGATTAATTCGCCCGACTTCCTTGCACACGTCTGCAAGAGATCCCAGTAAACCCTTTCCCGCTAACGGTTTGGTAGTGGAAGTAGTTGGAACCCACCGGTTTGCCAAGGATTGAAAGGAATGGGAAAGGATCATTCCTTTGCAATAATGTCAAGTCCAGAGGCGCATCGAGTATGCTCTAGTAGGAGTTGAAAAAATCGCATACCGCTCCATAGACCGGCTTCATATAAAAATTTTCTGGAAGGGACATCTGTTTATCTGTTTACAATAACAAAAGAACATGATGTGCCTGCTTCACGGGTCAGTGAATTCGAGTAAATCCACTTCGTATGTTGTAAATGCTGCATTCATTCTTAAATATTGGAAAACAGTAGCGAACAAAAACCCTCTGTTCGCTCCGGATATGAGTTCAAAACACCCCAGGAAATGATCCTGAGAGCCATCTTGATTGTGTCAGAGAGCCCATTGTGCCAATGTCACGAGACACATTCCATTGGAGAAAATTACGCTCGAAGACAAAGATGATAACTTTGAACTCTCTGACTTTTGGAATGAAAGCCTTTCTTGTTTAACTTGAACTTGAAGCACGATCGTGCACGTGCGAAGATTGTGTTATGTAACCGTCATGATGCAAGAATTTGAATAATCGCTTGGTCATTATTTGTATGTCGCAGAAAATCCATTCAAATCGGATGTTATCTTTGCAATTTCTCGTTACGTTTTGGCCTGTTCCTTCCGTTTGAAGACTATGGGGTATTTTGCCTAGAAATTAAAATTAAGTCGAAATATCGAGGTTTCCTCTTAAACGTCTCCTGTGAAGATTTTCAGCTCGATATGGAGTTGTTTATTTACCTTGCCTTAACGAGAAGGATATCATTTTCGTAGTAACTTGAAGAAGTAAATCTAAAAGACAAAGACATTCCCTTTAACAATCTGAAGTTATCAACATGTGACTTCTCTCCACAAGTTTAACACAGCCATGAAATACCTTATAAGAATTAGACAATCTCTAATTTAAAAGATAAAAGTATTGTAGCTGGAATAGAGAATAACACTTCAAGATTTAACGAGTTCAAGAGTTAAACTTTAAAGTTGAGACCTTTTTGTTTCATGATCCAATATTTTGCGGTTTGGTTCCTGTGACAGCAGTTCGCAAGCCACTAAAAATAGCGCTCAATTTGACCATCCGCAATACTATGAATAAACTACTGAAAGTTGTAGTTTCTCTTTAAAATCTCTCATGAAAGTTCTGTTGCCAGTCTTATTTTGTAATAATGATCTCCTCATGTTTGCGAGGAGTCAATCATGCTTTCCAAAGGGATACAACTGGGGAACCAAATCACATTCCTAAAGCATTAGAGAACACTGAGGGATTAACACGAAGGATAAAGTTTTGTCTCCTCGCACATGAGTCCTTGTATTAAGAGTGTTATGTAAGACAAGAACGTGCGTTGTTAGCCTAACTTCTGTATGTAAATTATTATCTTTGAACTGTCGGGCTTGCATTTGCGAGTAACTCACGTGCGGTATTCTTTTTTTGTTTTGTTTTGTCTAATATATCTTTACGGGAAGGAAGCCGTGTTTGTAAAGCAAAGGGGAGAAAGCTGTGGAATTGAAAATCCCTTAAGCTTTAATAACCACAAATTGGCAGAGAAAGTTACTGGAAATCAGGAAGATGTAATCAAGAAAAACATTCAGACTCATCATACAAACTTTTATGGCCAGACTGTTGCGTAAGACAACATGCATGAACTTTGAGACAGAAGCGTGAGAGCGGAGCGTTCTTCTGGAAGAAATAATGTTAACTGTCATCTTGGATTAAGATAAATTGCCTAAAGCTGTCTGAATTTTCTAGGCTGATAACTTTTGGTGTGTAAGGGTTATTCATTGGAGAGAAGGGTTGCTTTCTAGTTTGTTCTCTTTTCTTCAGGAGTAGTCGGGCGTAAAGATGAAAATTGAGATAAAGCATTTTGTAGGAATTCGAGACCTTTTATCTT